AGGTAAATACAGGAATTCAGATATGAAACAAAGAGAAGACAGCAATGTGGCCTGTTCAAGATGTGCACGTGCACATGACCGTGGGGCTTGTCCCGCCCGAGGGAAACGATGCCGTAAGTGTAATAAAACAGGTCATTTCGAGATTGCTTGTAAAACAAAGACTGTTAAAGAAGTGACCAGTGACGGACACGAAGTCGAATCAAACAACATGTGGTTTGTGGGTTCTGTTTCTGATAGTGCTAACGAGGATGAGTGGCATGTGAACCTTCCAATGAATGGCGCTACAGTAAAGTTCAAGATAGATACTGGTGCTGATATCACAGTTATGTCTGAGCAAACATTTCTGAACCTACCTAGTCGCCCACAACTTACTAAAACACTGGCAGACATCAGGAGTCCGGGAGGCAAACTGGACTGTATTGGCAGATTTTTAGCCTGTACAGAACGAAATGGACAAGTCAGGTTTTGGACATATGTCGTTAAAAGTCCATATACTAATAATCTCCTTAGCCGAAAAACTGCCTGTGAAATGAAACTGGTGAGCAGGGTTGACTTCATTAGTACTGAGGATGATGTTTTTGGAGACTTTGGACTTTTAAATTGTGAACCAATCAAAATCGAGCTCAGACATGACGCCAAACCATACAGCCTTTCTACCCCTCGTCGAGTTCCTTTTCCATTACTGCCAAAAGTGGAAGAAGAGCTGCAGCGTATGCTCCGGTCAGGGATCACAACAGAAGTGACGGAAGCGACAGACTGGTGTGCTCCAATGGTACCGGTGGTGAAGAAGAACGGTAAAGTGAGAATTTGCGTCGACCTTAAGAAATTAAACGAAGCAGTAAAGCATGAGAGATTTATTCTGCCCACTCTTGAGGACATCGCACCACAACTGTCCGGTGCATGTGTATTCTCAACGTTAGATGCTTCTAGTGGGTTTTGGCAGATACCATTGGACCCAAGCTGTAGGAAACTCACCACCTTCCTCACCCCAGTGGGCCGCTTCTGTTTTCAGAGACAACCCTTCGGTATCACTTCAGCTCCGGAGATATTTCAGAGAGAAATGAGCACTCTTCTTAAAGACCATGCCGGCACTGTAGTTGTGATGGACGATATACTGGTGTTCGGTAGAGATAAGGAGGAACATGATAACAACCTCAAGGCAGTTTTGAAGACCATCAGAGAATCTGGTCTAAAGTTGAATAAAGAGAAGTGTCACTTCGGAAAATCTGAGATTCAGTACTTTGGACATGTCATCGGAAATGATGGAATCCGGACTGATGCAAATAAAGTGAGGGCCATAACTGAGCTTCCGAGCCCTAAGAATGTGACTGAACTGCGACAGGTATTAGGGATGATTAATTACCTGGGCAAATTTGTTCCGGCTCTTTCGTCAATTCTTCATCCGATGACTGAGCTACTGAAAAGTGACACAGAATGGGTCTGGGGTGAGGCTCAGACACAGGCGTTCAAGAAGGTCAAAAGCTTGTTGACTACAGCACCAGCACTAGCATTCTATGATGCCAACAGAACCACAGTGGTCAGTGCGGACGCAAGCAGCTACGGCCTCGGAGCTGCCCTGCTGCAGGAACATGAGAACGGACGACGTCCCATCGCTTTCTGTTCAAGGACATTAACAGAGACAGAGCGCCGATACTCACAAATCGAGAAGGAGTGCCTGGCTGGAGTGTGGGCATGTGAGCGGTTCTCTCGATACCTACAAGGTATGGACAAATTTGAACTTCAGACTGACCATAAGCCTCTTGTGCCCTTAATAAATGCATATGATATTGACAAAGCTCCCGTAAGATGTCAGCGACTACTAATGCGCCTGATGAGATTTAATGTCAAAGCAGTGCATGTGCCAGGCAAACAGCTCGTGGTGGCCGACACTCTGTCACGAAACCCATTGACACATCAGGGCGAGTCTGACACAGAGGATGACGTCAAGGCGTTCGTACAGGCAGTACTGTCTACTATGCCTATAAGTGAAGACAGGTTAAGTGCCATAAGGAAAGCCACGCAGGATGATTTAGATCTTCAGTCAGTTTGTAAGTACATTCACCAAGGCTGGCCCAGTCAGATGTCTCAACTGTCACACTCACTCCACGAGTTTCACACTGTCAGAGCTCATCTCTCAGAAATTGGTGGACTTTTGTTGTATAAAGACAGAATAGTGATTCCAGGCTCACAGAGACATGAGGTGTTACATCAGCTTCACACAGGCCATCAAGGTCTTACTAAATGTAGGGAAAGAGCTAACATGTCCGTATGGTGGCCTGGAATTGGCAAGAACATCACAAAAATAGTCGAGACGTGTGAGTTTTGCCAAGTCAACAAGCCCACACAAAACAGAGAGCCTCTGATGGTCACCTCCCTTCCCAGGGGTCCATGGCAAAAGATTGCGGCTGATATCTGTGAACTTAATGGCAAGAAATACCTAATAGTCGTGGACTATTATTCTCGTGATATTGAGATTGCTCAACTACAAGCCATCACAAGCCAGCAGGTAATCACACATCTGAAAAACATGTTTGTTCGATGGGGGATCCCTTATGAACTTGTGACAGACAATGCTACTCAGTTCACGGCCACTGAGTTTGCAGAGTTTAAAACGACATACAATTTCACTCACACTACTTCCAGCCCTCATTATCCGCAGGCTAATGGTGCCGCTGAAAGGAGTGTTGCTATTGCAAAGCGGATGCTCAGACAGCCAGATCCACAGCTAGCTCTGATGAGCTATCGTTCTACACCTATCAGTGCTACTGGACTGAGCCCAGCTCAACTTATGATCGGACGTCAGATCAGAACAACAATTCCGATGCTGCCAAAGAACCTGCTACCAAGTCCAATTGACTATGAACAAGTCAGATGGAAGGATAAACAAACCAAGCAGGCTTACCAGTACTTCTACAACCGACGCTACTCAGCACGTGGTTTACCCGACTTACATCCAGGACAAAGCGTGAAAGTCAAGTTGGATGGAGAAACACATCCGCAACGGTCGTCGGAAAAGCTCCTGAACCAAGGTCATACATTGTACAAACAAAGGAAGGTACAATCTCTCGTCGGAACCGGAGACACATCCAGAGTGTTCCGGAGAAGCCAGAAACACCTGAAACACCCGACAGACAGATTGTACATGGGTACAGTGAATTAACTGATGGACCCTCTCTTGAGACTGATTTATACACAAACTCTGAGAATGGGTCTAGTACCTCACCTCCCATCACACCACATATACGTACACCCACCTGCAAAAGAACCCTTGCTGGCAGAGAAGTAAAACAGCCTGCAAAGTTTCAGGATTATGTGTTGGGCTAGGTAATAATAACTACCATGCTGATGCTGGTGATAATGTTGATGTAAAGAGTTTTCTTGCATGCTAATTCTTATAGCATACTGTAAGCGCAGTACAGGAGGAAAAATCCAAATTAATGAATGCTGTAACATGTTTTGTTTATTGACAGGTTATGTCAAAGAGATTGGCTGTGGTAAACACTTGATATTGTTCTATATATCTTACATAATTATTTTATGAATAATCTGCCTCTTTCTTTGTTCCTGGAAATAATAATAATAATGCTGAGGTAGTAAAGAGGGGAGATGTGGTGATATATGTACAAGTTGTGATTGACTGTTAGCTGCAGGGTGATATATGTACAAGTTGTGATTGATTGACTGTTAGCTGCAGGGTCCAACGTTGCTGGGCAACGGGGGCGGGGTGAGGAACGACTGAGAGTTTTGTTCGAAACTGCGCATGTTAATAAAAGCAGACTGAGTTCATCATGAAGTGGCTGAGTTCATCATCAAGTTGGCTCAATATCATGACAAATAGCCAATCTAATTTCAGATTTGATGGAAATGACAGCTGCAGAAAAAAAAAAGATTCACAAAATTGACTTTCCATCTTTGGACATTGTTAGTTCCAAACAAAACAATAAAAAAAAAAAAAAAAAATTAAGAGTGTGAAAAGTGGTTTAAAATAGTTTGTTTCTAAAAGTCAACCGGGCCAAAAGTTCACATATTGAAACATACATTTTGAGCTGACAGACAGGAGGGGGGAAATGAGAGGTAGACATTTATCCATTATTACAGAGACGATAAAGAAAGATTGTTGTTTTGTAATCGTTAAACGTGGATTGCATAGGAAATATGGCAAAAGATTAGGCTAAAGGTTTGAATGTTGTTAAACTGGTAAAACATGGTAGGCCTAGCCTAGTAACGAAACTCGCGAGAAACACCGCGAGAATTTTTTTACTGTAGGTTTATTTCAGTTGAGGAAATGCAAACAAACAAGAACACAAATAAAAGAAAGAAAATAATCAAAACATAGCTGCTATACAGATTTTTATTTTTAAAATCGTCTTTGAAAATGTCAGTAGCTCTGATCAGTTATTTAATAATTCAGAAAAGTAAAAACAGCATGCATATTATATGTATTCACTGTTTGATCGAAGAGATTTTAAGTTTACAGTGCAAAACAAGAGCTGAAAATAATTACTGGAGCTCTTGAAAATAGGCTACTCGGGGATTCCGTGACGTGTTTGGGTGTGGCGTCATTTTTAACCTTTAGTTGTAGCCTATAGGCTACCTGTCGATACGGTTTAAATCGTTTTGCATATAGAGTTGCACAAGAAAAAGTATTAATAAGAAAAAAGTTTCCTAGTTTGTGCTAATTTAGGCTATTATTATGCGGACATAATTAAGTGGGTGCCTGATCGTACTATCAAAAAAGTGGCTCCGGTTTAAATTTCTGTGGGGACTCTTGTATCATTGACTAATCAAACAAAACAAAACAAAACTCAGCAAAGTTTCTCGAGGCTTCATTGCATCTTTCCACACCCTTCGGTAATCGAGAATAGGCTATTCCTGAACGCTGTAGTCATGACACGACAAACAACACGCTGCAAATAATTGAAGCTATTCAAACCAAAAACAAATCTGTATTCTCGTTTTCATTAAAAAAAATAGGCTATGACATGTCTGAAAAATCATACCTGTAAGTTTGAATGTGAGTTCGGGAACAGTTTTCCGACACAGATGTAAACTTTACGTTCTCCACCCTTTCACTTCCAGAAAGCGGCAACACCTGAGGGAATATACACACACACACACACACACACACACACACACATACATACGCGATGACATCACGCGGCACAGAGGTAAAGACGTAGTCGCATAATAATGGCAGTGAGCATGAAGAATTTATGACTTTGTATGATTTTCCTCTGCCAGCAAGGACTTTTAACTCTGTCATCACCAAAGCTTTATCTCCAAGTTATGTGCACTATATTTAAAGCTATTTGCTTTGAGAAAATAATGCCAAAAACTTTAATTGGATGGTGTTTGCCTTATTGATATATATTTTTTTAAATAATAAACATAATGCGTAACATAATATAGTTAGCCTACATGATATAGTTCACACATTCCCTATATGTAAATTGTTCTAGAACAATTTTTGACAGTTCACTGGAAACTATGCTATAGCATACTCCCGGAAAAATACTGCATTTCGAACACAATATCTATAAATCTTCAGATACTGCATCCAATTTGCTCCCAAAATACAAATTTTGCCGATGCTTCCAACTTCTGTAAACCTGAGGTAGATTCTTTGCCTCATTTATTTTATCAATATTATTAGATGCATTCTCTTTGGGATAATTTTTCATATCTCTTTTTATAAAATGTGATTTAAACTTTTCGCAAATTGTTGCTTATTGCTAAATATCTTTGTTTTGCATTGCACATTTTTATTCACATACTTTGCCTAGATTAGCCTGTACAGTAAAATTTCAAACTCATAAGTATAATAGATTTCTCGAGGACTATGATATTATCATATCATTATAATATTATGATATTATCTTGTGTCCTTCGTATACCTGTTTGTATTTTTACTTTTTCTTTTCATTTTATGTTCTTTGTATTTCAATGCAGTGCTGTTTCTTCTTTGCAATATAAAGCAAGTTGCACAACAAACAAAAGAAAACATGTCACAATAGTTTTTGTATTGTTTATTGTTCTTTATCACAGGCAATAATAGTGCACTTTTCATTTTTTAAATTATAACACAGACATTTATTTTCTTGTCATTATTTTTTTCACTCCAATTTAATGACTTGCATTTCTTATGATTTTTTTTTCCTACTGTGCGCAATGGGGAAGAAAGAGTACAGCTTTACAATCTTAAGAGGAGTAATCAGTTATGACGACAAAGATAATCAATAATCCTCAGGTGAATATAGAATGGATAAAGAATGACGACACGAGTAATATTTTCTGTTTACAATGAACAGAGATGGGGGGGGGGGGGGGGGGGGGTGAGCATACATTGGGGGCAGGCAGGACATATGTATATAATGAGAGAAGATGGAAGGGATGGTCTAAAGTATA